CACCCACCCACCCAAGCAGAGACATTCTGGCTGCTGGTATAAGTAGTAGAGTCCACTACTCAGTGCAACATTTTATCTATACTCTTCCCATTAACTCGTCTTGTGTAGGTCTACTCAACAGATTCCATAGAACATGTGCTGATTTTTAAAAAGAACCAGGCAGAAATGTTTCTGTCCTGGACATTGGAGTGTGCATGCCCCATACTCATTCTCACAGTAAACAGTTACACTCTGCCTGCTTGGCAAAATAGAGAAGAGAAACTGCCAGAGCTTCCTGTTGTGGAGGGACGTCCCTCCACAACAGCTGGAGCTTGTTAAGGTTAAGGTATAAAAGAAAGAGGAATCTTAAAACGTGAGCTTCATATAGTTTCTCTTCAATCCCAGTGGGAAGAAAACTGATATAAAGGGTTCATCTTTAAGACATGTACCAGCTAATAATTCTAGTAGGTGAACTAATTGAAGGGTACTGGGGGAAGTGGGAGGCCCTTTCCTACAACAGAACTGCTATCCCATATACTTCTCAAATCTCCCCTGTGGTTTTCTGCTCTTCACCTGAGGGGTAAAGAGCAGACAGATGTAGACTAATAAATAGTCTGATCTCAAATTACAAGGACTAAAACTGTGCTTGCGAATTTAAAAACAGAGTTTAACAAAGTCACATAATGACAGAAAAATAAGGCTGTACCAGTTACAGAATTTTTTCTATTACCTAATCTCCATTTTGTCAACTTCATCAGCATCTTCCACATCAAAATGGGATTTTTTGTTGTAGCTGCTGGGTCTTGTGACCTGGTATGAAGGAGACATAGTTAGAACATGAATTCTATGAAGCAGGAGATCTCACAAAGCTCTCAGCACATACAGATAGCCTACATTCATCTTTAACTTAATCTCTGATTCTGCAAACTTTTAAGCATATTTGAGCAGGGATCACTCCTGTAGAACTGGATGCAGAATCAGAACCAAGAATAATTATACCAGACTCCAATATTTTTTCTGTATAGTGAGGGAAGGAATCTATCAGATCTTTGACTCTAACATTTACACAGACATATAGAATCACACAAGAGAGGTGTCACCAATATTTAGAAGTTTGCTTAAAAAAAAAGAAAAGGAAACAATTCAGTGATCAAATTTCCAATACAGGCTCTTAACAACAGATATTTTTCTACTCTGTAAAAAGGTACATTTAAAAGATCTGCACTTCAACTCCCCAACACGTCTATTTTAATTGGGGCAATTTAAAAGTGGGACATGCTGCCTACCCCAGTTTGAAATCAGCGTATTGTATTGTATCCCTTTGCCACTCCCACCCCCAATTGTGCAGAGGAGGTAATTTTCTAAGAGAGATGACGCTGGGGTTCTACACTTCAGAATACAGGACTGAACTCTTAAACTTCTTAATAACAGAATACAACTTCTCTTTTCCCCCAGCTAAACTTGCAGCGTGAGAAAACAAAAACAGCAAAGCATATGCACCAAAGAGAAACTGCAAAAGTAGCCACAAGGTAAAAGTTTTAATTTGGAGATATCTAAAAAATCTGTTTGCTTCTAGCACAGCAGAGTAAAAAGGCTTTGAGCTTTGTTTTGACCATGGTGACAGAAACTTGAGGAAAAAGCACCCCACCCAGCCATAACCACAGCAAACTGTTTAAATACTAGCAAAAAGGCTTCATATGCACCTGGGCACTGAACCCACTCAGCAGCTCATCATTATTATAGATTTAAAATCTTCTTGTGGCTTAGTACTTCCCACCCACAAAAATGGCTTTTATTATAAGCTTAACTTCTTTTTTTCCTGTACATCACTAGGTGCATACAGAAAAAGATAATGATTTAACTGAGACAGAGGAATCAGAAAAGGCTGTTTAGCACATGAACTCCAATCAGCAGCATTATTTCTACTCCTTAACCAGGTAATAGGTGAAATCTAAAGGGGACTAGAAATGCTGGTGACCATGTTCCTCAATTATAAATTTGATTTAAATGCACCTGGGATCCACAAAGCACTGTAATTTAAACATGCTACATCATTTCAGCAGCTCTGCACAAATTTCTCTACTCCACCCTACAAACCACTTCAAACGATTCTTCAAGATATTATCCTGTTCATGGCCCCAGCCATGCTACTGGAAATTACATTTCTACTCTAAGGCTACCCATGTAGTTAGGGATAATAAAGCAAAAATGTTTTGTTGCGCTTGTATACTTACATGTTGCCATACAACACTCAATCTGTGTAGGCCAGACCTAAAGGTTCAACCAATGCAAACAGAGCAGTATTCTTATAAAAGTATTTCTGCAATGAGCGCTAATTCAAAGAACTAAATTAGGAATTCCAGGCTAGGGGGAACAGGGTGTTAGCTTGCCTTTAGCCTACCTTTATGACCCTCCCAATTCTCAGCTGCTCTGCAGTCAGAAAGGCTGTCTATATAATGTCAGCCTTTCACTACATCTTAGCAAACATGTTCCGTCCTCTCCTTAACCCATGCTGTCCTGCCCTGGCACACCTCTTACAAGCTTTGTGAAGGGGTCCTTGGTTCCTGCACAAGAGGAATTCTTCCACAGCCTTTCAGCCCCTACAGGGCTCTAAAGGCTGCTGTAGCATTTTTGCTCAGCATGTATGGACTGGGGAAGTGGTGACTGTCTTGCTCTAAGCACCAGGTGCAAGTTTCACTTGCAACCCCCCTTACATCTGACCCTGTTAAAAAAAATGACTCCACTGAAGCCAAACCTGCAATAAGCAGCACAAGGCAATACAAAAAGCCAACATTTTTATTTTGGGGAGGAAAATACTCAATGTATTGACATTCAAATATTGTCCCCCACCTTGGGTTCATAGAGGTCAGCATGAATTCCAGCAAAGCCATCATAGGGTGGCAGCCTGGGGTCATATTGTCAACTGATGGATCTCCACTGGATCAATCTATTATGCCATCTTACACCAGGTGTAGACATAGTCCTATGATGTCACCACCTGCCTGCAATTTCCAGGGCATGAAATTGGCTCCCAAGACAGCAGAAGCCAGTGTAAAAAAAATACAATGACCATCCCACTGACACTAGTGCTCGTAACAACACCTTGAAAAGGTAAGCCTTTCAGGGTTGGTTTATAAATCATAGCACTAAAGTCTGACACATGCTGGTTTACAATGAGCTTAGATTGGTTTTAACTTCCATGACTAAATTTAAACAGAATCTAATTAAAACTAGACAAACTTATGTGACCAGACAAAGCTCTGCTGGTTGGATGCTTACTTAGCTGGGTGGGTGCTAACTAGATTACAGCTTATATGAATTTAGTAAGGCTGCCTTTTATGCACTAGGGCATATCTTCATTACAGAGTTATGCCCTGAATTCTACTTCTACCTGCACAGAAAGTCCTTTAAGTTTAAGCTATAGCTAGTATACTTGAAGCTACAGGCTGAGGTCTGGCTTCTCCCCAGCCCAGGCTGGCTACCTGCCTATTTTGTAGGAGAAAGCAGGCTAATTAACCCCCCTGTGCTCAGAGCTCCAGCCCTATCCCTAAATTCTACCTAGACCAGCATTCTTCAACCTGTGGGTCACGACTCAAAAATGGGTCACAAGAATACATGAAAGGGCCGTAAACAAACTTGAAAAATACAGCAACAAACTTTGAAGGAGAAAAAAATGTGGGCAACTGTGGCTTTTCCTTTGCAGGCTGGCAGAGCTCCAGCCTGCAAGGGGCTGCTTCGCCTCCCCGCCCCATACTCTCCCCCTGCCTACACACTGTGGGGCTGGGGCCTGGAGGCAGGGAGCAATGAGTTGGTAGTGAGGGGCACTGGGTTGGGACTGGCCATCAGTGTTTACAAATGGGTCTTGATACAAAAAGGTTGAGAACCACTCACCTACACTGTGCTCTCTGATAATCTCCACCCATCTTCTGCACCAAAATCTCCTATACTGCTTCAGTGCTTTAATTCTAAAACTGCCTGCTCCATTTTTGCTGCATGCAGAGGCATAGACGTCAGTCAGGTGTGCTATAAATCATTATGTGGTTTCCAGAATTAATTCCTTAATTACATTCTCATTAAAAGTTCTTGCTGCCAAACATTGTTTGCTTCTGCCTTGAAAACCACCTGCACTGAAATGGAGTTCCCCATTCTGAAGTTATTTCTATAGAGTATTGTTCATGTGTCACTGTCATTGACAGCAGCTTCATAACAGGTGAAAGAGCATGAGACAAACACCTGTGAATGAATCTACATGCTGCTGTTGCTTAATGCACTACTAATGTCTTGAATATCTTGCCAGAAATCCAAGCCAGCACATGGGCTAGACGGCACCAGTTACTTCAGGTCTAGCACTGACATGGGTTCACAGCGGGCACTACTCCACTTCTCCTAGGTTAATGCAGGCTAACTGTTCTGTGAAGTACCTTAGAAAAGATCTGCTCATTTGGTATCCTAGTAAATCCACCTAATACAGTTGCAGTTTATTTTGGCAAATGTGGGATTTTGTTTTTCATAGAATAAGTTGTATCCTGTCCTGCCATGCCAAAATATACCATACTGACAAACGCATGCTTCTGCTAGCCCAATTGTCTCTGCCCAAAGGGGCAGATCCTAATTCCACCCTGCTCAAGGCTCTGAAAAACTATTAATGCAAAGGGCCGGGGAGAGAGGAAGGTTGGGCGGGAGGAGGCCTCACCATTTTTGTGACTTAGTCTTAAGGTCAAGATAAAGGCACACTGCAAAAATTGACAGGTTAACAGTTCTTCAAGGATGCAAGCAGTAAGGAATAGATCACACTTGGGTATTTAATAGATGGAATTGGATCTGGCCTTTAGACTTTTGCTGGTATGAAAGAGTCATAAAATTCAAGCCCCTAAATAACACTACTATGGTTGCAGGAGTTCTGAATGCAGACCAGGCCTGATCAGCATAAGGTACACTGGGAAATGAACTTTTCTTGATGCTATAACTACATCTACAATATGGCTTCTGCCAGCATAACTATGCTGGGTTGATGTATTTTTATTTCCATTCTCATAACCAATTTAATTGGCAAACCTTATAAATACAGACCAGGCCTAAATCACGCATGATAAACATAAAAATATGTACACTTTATACACAAAGGATACCAAATGAAAAAAATCTGAAGAACTGTCTCAGGGATGTAGGTGAAATGCAAAGAACTCCCTACTACTCTTACCAAGATAAAAAAGGAGCTCTTCAAATGGGCTGTTTCTGGACTAATTGAAAATACTGTACATTACAACAAGTTCTCTCTATTTCATAGAGCTGAAGAGAAAGCTTTGGTGTTATAGAAGGCTGTCAAGGCACTGAGGCATTCCATTTTGAATGGATTTCCCCCATTGCTTTTAAAGCTCTTTATAGTTCCTGTAAGACAACTCTCCTATCACTGACCGTAGACGATAGGACAGAGCAGCTATAAAACCAGAGTCTGGAAAATACTTGCTTATCAGTTCTAATTCAAAAGATGGTTGAGTAGGGAGGGCTGAATTAGTGGCAACTGAAAAGCCTGCTCAAGAGGACAGACTACCTAGAAGACTTGACTCTAATCATCTGAAAAAGTGACATGCTGCTGCCTCAGCAGACAACTAGTCTGATCCTGGATACTTCTGTCTCTTGCCTGGGGTTTGAATCAGTCTTCAAAGGAGACAGCTGGCACAACATGGAGCAAGATGCTGTGCCAACTATCTACAGTGTAGGATTTCAGCTTATCACCCATTCCTTTGAAATACCAACCTCAAAATAAAACACTTCATCAAATTGTGGATTGTTGGTCTTCTTTTTGACTTTAGTCTTTTTGGCTTCAGATCTGAATTAAGGACAGGGGAAGAAAAAAAACAACAAAAACACATTAGTAGAAGCATATGCCTCAATGCAGCTATGGAATACTGAAGTAGCTCATGTGCTTGATTTATTTTTTGTAAATCTGTAACTCCATGCAGCATGCAGAGAGACAGACTCTTTGTAATGGAAAATATATCATGGGAATACACATTTAAGAAAAAACTTAAGCATGTGTACATATTAAAAAGTGCAAGTATTTACAGCTATCATCCACATTTGGAAACACACACCCTCCAGCCCAGATCCTGCAAACTGCTCTGTCAGGGAGGACTCTAAACCCACACGGAGCAACTTGTAGGAAGTGGGCCTTGTGTAGTAATATCCAGGGGACAAAGTTTTACCCTGTTCAGTTCTGAAAGAAGAAAGCCTCCACAAATTCTCACACTTTAAAAACACACAAGGATATAGGCAAAGAGCAAGGATGCACCAGGGCAGAGACAAAAGAGGAGCTCCCCTTTGCATATCACAGCGCTTTGCAGGAAGTGCTACGAGTTACAATTCCCTGTATCCAACAGAAGTTCATTGTTGGGTTTGGGATTTGGGGATTCTAGCTGCTTGCAGCAAGCCTGCAGCCCGGTCTCTGTAGCCATGCCACTCCCTTCTTCCAGCCCAGATGATGTTTTCAGAATGTGAGGGAGGAAAGGGAGAAAAGAGAGAAGAGGGAGCTCATTATTTGGGTTCTCCAGCCAGCACTGGAGGGTGGAGTGGGTGGATTGGAGCCCTCCCACCTCAGCAAGGGGGAGGAAGGGCCTCCAAGCCACCTGTCCCAACCTCCAGCACTGGCTGAAAAACCCCCAGACCAAACTCCCTCCACTCCCTTTCCTCTGTCCCATTCTGAAAACAGCAACAGGCTGGGAGCTCCACAGACACAAGTTACAGAATGCAGTCTGTTTTGAAGCTTGCTCATCTGAACCCTCGTTCAATGGCAAAGACAGAAGGCCCATTTAAAGCGGTTTGCAGCTGTGTGCTTCTGTTTAGTCACAGCTGTAGACTGCTTTTTGGCACCAGATTAGGCAAAAATTGTCACTTCTGTCTGTGCCCTGT